TTATTATTATTATTATTTATCCATAAGAGTAAAAGAAAAAATACGAATAAATGTGGTACTACAAAATTTTAAATGAGTAAAGAAATTAAACTATTGGCTGACTTAAACTGAAGCGTCGTCAATATAAAGAAATATAATACCTATAATAGTGGACTAAATTTTTGAAGAGATAGTGCCCTCAAAATATGAGTATAGGTGTTTTATTTAAGTTAAGATACAAACAGACAATACGATCGGAAAAAAAACTACGTCAAGGATGGCTAATGATCGGTATTTTGTCATCGATAGTCATTTCCTAGCCAACTGGACCTTTTTAATCATTTAGTACCTATTTATAACAATTATTGACCTACAATGATTTTTGGCGAATATTTTGCTTACCTACTTTGAAAATTTAAGCTTATACTCAAAAGCAAACTAAAATAACCAGCTGCTAGTTAATAAGCTGTGGTTTAAAAGGAAATAGTCTATATACCTTACGTCGCTATGGTGATGTTTGATCATTGTCCTATATCATGAAAAAAATATAAAGTAAACATTTACACTATATAGTACGATTGATTCAGACTATGGACGGAGAAGATATTCAAGGTAATAAATAGTATTAATTTTCCATGAGATTTTATACATTAAAGGTACATTTAATAATTTTAATTTTATACGTTTTTAAATTTCTTCAGAACCTCAGCAAAATACATAGATATAACAAAGCACAACTCATTTTACTTTATATATACCGGGTGCGTCTCAAAAGTGGCTCACCCCTATAACTTTTTTATTTTTTCAGATAAAACAACGAGATTTGATATGTTAGTATATAACATAAATTGGGGATTTATTGACGTATTCAATTGTTCTTGGTCACTTCCGGTTTCACCGGAAATGACTACAACTTTTGATTTTTAAATGACACCCTGGGTATTTTTTTACTTTATTCGATAGAAAATGCCACTCTGAATCGAATGACATATCATATGTCAATTTTTGACATAGTCACTCAAAAACAAATTCTATTTTAGAGTGCCATGGCTGTGTTAAAACCCAAATTTTTAATCAAGGAGCCTTGGAAAAATAGATTTGATCGTCTAATATTTTGTGTCTTGTCCTGGCCAATTAAAAGATGCCCAAATCGTATTTTTAATCATATCTCAATTTTTTCAAATGGAACGAGGGTGGCTCATTAGCATATTTGGAAAAAGCATTTTTTTACGAATAATTTGATACCACATACTTGGTATTTTGAGTCAAATTGTCTTTATGGACCACATGTTATAATTTCAAATAAACCATATGCCAAAATGTCAAAAGTTGACATATGATATGCCATTCGATTCAGAGTGTCATTTTTTATCGAATAATGTAAAAAAATACCGAGGGTGCCATTTAAAAATCAAAAGTTGTAGTCATGTGACCGAAAACAATTGAATACGTCAATCAATCCCAATTTATGTGATATACTAACATACCCAAGTAGCAAAAAGAAATTCTAAAAGGATTGAATTATTTTATAACAGTCGAATAGCGTTGTCTTAAGGACTGCTTGATTTTATTAAGCGTTTGGTTTCGACCATTCTGTTTTTTAATAAAAGTTGTCATATTAAACTATTTTCTAGTGGTTTTTACAACGTATCCTATAACGCATTAAACGATAATTTCTTTTAGTATGATATAACACTTAATAAGATAATGCTATATGATAACAAACATATTATTTTATTAGACTCTTATACCCACCATGTAAGAGTTCTATAATATTCATATAACTAGTAGTCACAAGATCATATAATAGTTACTTAAACTTTTCTTATTAAAGTTGTATTACGTTGTATGATATAACGTTTTATTGCGTTAAACTACAGTGCTGTATACAACACCAGTTATATAGCCTTATATGATAAAATTGTGATTAACAAAATAAATTCGCTGTAATATCGGCATTATAAAACTGGTAATGTATAATATAGCCTCATTTTAAATTAAATGGTATATCTAGTTATTTATTTTGTTATTGTTGTTGTTGCAAAAGTAATATCTACGTAAGAGTATAATCAATCACAGTTATTATGAATTCTGGACAAAGTTGGAAAAAAGTTAACAAACGCAGTGGTAGTTTAATATAATAAAGAGCATGTAAGAAAAAACTCCTCGAAATTACGGCAAATAATCCCGAGAATTCCCTGGGTTCTCAAAAGCCAAAATCTCTCGGGTTGTCTGGCTTCTTCAAAGCATTGTTGCCACGTTGATGTAAAAGTTTTACTGTAGTAATGTTTGTATTGTTTTATTGTTGTTTTTCCGAGTCCTTAGGTTGCCGCTCACTCGTCGGGCACGCATGAAATGCATTGCGTGTATGAATCCATGAAAATCTGATCATGTTTGTTAGTTTAAATACTAATCAAATGAGATTTGGCAACATCTATTTGTCACAAATCTCAATATGTCCAAAATAGTGCCTGGAAATTCTGCGTAATGATAGATATTTATCCTATACCGTTTTATTTTACAACAAAGACTTATTTAAGGGATTCATTTATAATAAAATGGTTGCATTATAATTCGCCATGTTTAAGGCAGAATTTTTGTTGGCCTATAGCCGCCATTATATGAAGCAAAATTAAAAACATCAAAATACATTGTAAAATGTTATTTTTGAGAACTATTTTGTAATAAGATTCCCACATACAGTAATATAGTGTTTAATTAAATTAAAAACAAGAATTTTTGAAAATTTTATTTTATTTTATTGTTTAAATTTATATGTAAACCTTAATCGAAATTAAAGCGCTTTAATTTTTTGCCAAATACATACCTATAATCTACCAGTAAAATTTTCGGCGCAACTAAAATTGTCCCTGCTTTTCAAACCCTATTAATGATTTTTTATATTACATATTTGTTGTACCTTCTGGCTTTACCCGCCATTTTCATTGTCGAGTAAAGTCTCCTTTTTAACAATCCACATCCTCTTGATTCATTTTACGACACGCTTAAAATATAATTTGCTTCTAATATTCTTCGGTAAAAAATAAAATACTCTTGTATCTCGCTAAATAATCAAATGTTTTTATTGTTCTGTTTCTTAGATGTGACCACGTAATACACAATAAAACTAGTTTTATAATAGTCATATAACGCAGTGTAAAATAGTTGCATAAGAGTTGTATACTCTTTTTATAGAACTTCTATACTACTAAACGGTTGTATAAAAATGGGCCTTTTTTGGTTGTAAAGCTATCATATTACGGTCATATAGCACGTTATATGAATTGAGGTATCCTATAAAAATTATCACATAGCTGTTTATACAACCTTTATAAAATACAATTTGCTACTTGGGTACCAAATATCATTGTTTTATCTGAAAAAATAAAAAGTTATAGGGGGTGAGCCACTTTTGAGACGCACCCGGTATAGTATAGGGTGAGTCTTAAATAAGGGCAAATATTTTCTGAGCTGGTAGATATCGATAAAAGAAACATATTTTCTCTTTGCCTTTTTTTAAATAAAAAAAATCCAACAATTTTTAAACAAAAAAAGTCCAAAATAACAGAGTTATTTTACTTTGAAAATTAAAAAAAATGTGTATATTTTTTTTATTGATAGCTTCTCCAAGCTCTTGCGTTTGCTAAGTATTTTTCTAGATTATCAATATTTTAGTTTAAAATAAATCATTTTTAATAATTTAAAATAAATCATAATTGTCTAAATTAGAACTTTTATTGAACCTGTTGTTGTTGGCTTCTAATATTATTTAGACACTTACTATTCGTGATTAGAGTAACTGTAGAAGTATTCTTTTTTATGCTGATTGGACTGTAGCGTAATCACGTGGCGCTCAAAACTTACACCTCACCCCAACCCATCGCCACTGTAGAAAAGCTTGCGGCCGCTACAGTTCCCACACTGGGAAATATTAGAGTTGGCAAGACATTAATTTATTGAATTTCATTTTATTGTTATAGAGCGTTACATAGCAAAAAATATGACGTTAAATCAAAATTAATACTAACCATCTATCAAAGAATGAAATCTAAATTTTATTACCATACGCGTTTCAGCGCGTTTTGACTTTTAGGACTAAAAAATTCACCCATATTTTCATGTTTTTTTAGTTTTCTTTTAAACGGTATGGAAATTTGAAAAATTTTAAACGGGATTAACCATTTTAGAACAAGTAAATGTTTTTAGGAAGAATGCATTTTTCTAGAAATGTCGATAATAAAAAAGGTTTTCCTCCTGTAAAGACAATCCGGGGACATACTGTATGGGGTGGACCATTTTAGTTGTTTCTATAGGGTTAGGGTATCTAGGAAACCGTGAGAAATATTCAAATTTTGATACTGCAGTCTCGGGTTCTTTTTTTAAAAAACGCCACGGAGCGCAAACGGATTGTAGCTATTTTGATCGGTTTCGAAGCTACAGGGGAATTCCCAAATTTTGGTGCTTTTAAAAGATGTTAAGTTAACTATTAACCTCAGCGCATTAAATGCAGGGTCATTAAAACAATACAATAAAACAATACAATCACAGTCAAATACAGAGTCATTAAAATCAAATACAGAGTCATTAAAAAAACATAAGTATAGTTAGTATCTAAAAAAAAATATTTTTTTCAAAAAAAAAGTCTGACTACTCTACTGCATTCTACACAGAAAAGTGCCTTTACATTGTTTAATTCATTTTTGCGTAGTTGCTGATATAAATAAACTATCGAACATCTTCAAAAAGTACAAAATTTGAGAAACCCACTGTAGCTTCGAAACCGATCAAGATAGCCACGATCCGTTGACCATTGTGATTTTTTCAAAAAAAGAACCCGAGACTGCAGTATCAAAATTGAATATTTCTCACGGTTTTCTAGATACCCTATAGAAACAACCAAAATGGTCCACCCTGTACATATACACCAAAATAAATCAATATGATTTTAAACGCCACAATAACTCATACTGTATTCTAATGTTTTTAACAAAATCAACTCTACTACCTGGTTTGTACAGGTATGTTGTCTATTTTGTTGCTTAATAACACGTCAAAATTAAATACTCTCTACTCTACTTTTTACATTGTTTAGATCACTACTGTGGATCACTAAATATATTATATTTGTTCCAAAATTATGGATGATGACGAAGAGCTTGCGATTCCAGGTATTTTTCAGTATTTACGTTTTTTTTTTACTTTTACTATGCATAAGTATGAATAAATTTAATCAAGCGAGACTGGTCTAGGTTTTGCACAAAAATCAAGACCGGTGCACGACTTCCACAAAACCAAAACCAAGCATGCAAGACTCTTACGGTCTTGCATCTATTTTCACATTTATGTGACATAAGAAATTACTTATTTGTTCAAAGTTATTGATTTAATTTATTACAAATGCTGTTTTCCCTACTAATGTATAAAACGTTAAAGGAAGAAATGCTGATTCAATATATTTAAAAATACAAATTTTCTGCAGACAAATATTCGAATAGTTTCTTTCTTTAAAGTTTCATTTGCGCTAAATTACTAAAAATACTTTTTATTTAAATATTCTCTATGTAGAAAGTGGCCCAAAGACTTGCAAGTCGTGCAGCAAGACCAAGACTGGACCCTGCAAGACCAAGAGAGTTTGGTCTTGGTCTTGCATTTGCTGATCACTACGGCAAACACTAAACAAAAGATTAGAATTTGTTTTTGCTTCAGTACTTACTGCCAGCTGACGAATATTTAACATGCATCAGAAGATGGTTACGCAAGGCGTTTTCTTTCATGAGCTTTTCTGCAACTGAAAAGCCCGATATATATATATATATATATATATATATATATATATATATATATATATATATATATATATATATATATATATATATATATATATATATATATATATATATATATATATATATATATATATATATATATATATATATATATATATACGTGATGTTATCTCTCTTCTGCACTTACATTCCAAAATCTCATTACTTTGTTGCCTCTTTACTTTTTGGTGGTCGTTGTTTACTGAGTTTACAATTCTTCTCCATTGGGTTCTATTGTGCGCTGCTTCCTCCCACTGATTCTGCATGCTTATCCCTTTTAATTTTTCGTGGAAAATATTCTTGTACCTTTTGAGTTGTCCACATGGTTTCCTCGTACCGTCTGCAAGCTCACAGTGAACGAGAGATTTCGGTAAGCGATTTTCTTGCATCCTGCATACATGACCAGCCCATCTTCAGCTGTATTTAGTAATCAGGACTTCAGCGCTTTCTCAGCTAGCTTTCTCAAGGACCGATACGGTTGAGACATGGTGGTACCATATGATTCTTAACAGTTGGGTCCCTGTTGCAACTTCGTCTCGCAACACAGGTTTCTCTTCCATATAACATGGTGGAGATCATTATTGCTCGGCAAACTGCAAGTTTCGTTTTTGTACTCAAGCCATGATTATAGAAAACCCTGTCTTTTAATTTCCAGAATACTCTTGAGGCGCTGCTAATCCTGTGCTGCATTGCACAGTCGATATCGGCCTTTTCTGAAATCAAACTGCACGCCGAGGTAATTGAATTCCGCGACATATTCCAATAGTTCTTCTCCGATTTTTATAGCATTGTTATGATCTTCCGGGTGAGTGCACATAATTTTAGTTTTAGCAATGTTGAACTTAAGGCCCAAAGCCTCATATGCCCAGGTATACAGATTGTTAACTGGACAGTTACTTATAGGGGAACAGAATGGCAACACTGTCTATTGAGAACGCATGCACTTATAGGGTTTTCTGCCGACTCGTCCCGTCGCGTCGCTATCGACGAGTGGGCCGAGATTGCCATATTCCAACCATAAAGCTCTTGCCGCGAGTAATAAACAAATTAACAACCTGTATGTGTTCAGCATTTCTTTAATTGCGGTAACGTTTTTGCAACTAGAGTACAGTCACCAGCGTATTGAAGTTTTGCTTTATTACTTTTACCTTAACTTTTACTTTTACTTTAAGAGAACTTTTACTTTAAGACTACTTTTACTTTTACAGAGAATTACAAAAACTTCGAGAAAAAAGAATTATACTCCCAAAAGCACGCGAAACTTAAAAGTCATCATAGACATACCGTTTTACCTCAAGATTTGGACTGCGCAGTCCAAACCTTATTGAGATATTATTCAACGCATTATTAGCACATCATGACACCTTAAGTCTACGGACATACAGAAATCGAGCGTTTAAAGCGTCTAGAAACAAAATAATACGAATATCTTCAAGGAGCAGACTTTCTAGATGCATTTTATCCATTTTCGAATTTTGACAAACAAAGAAAAACAGCTACGCTTTTTGCAATCGAAACTTACCCAAAAACTAGTATCGAAAAATTGATAAAAAACATATAAGAATTATGCCGTGATAATAGTAAGTTGTAGTACACAAAAAAAACACTTCATCTGGCCATGACAACCGCCAATGAACATATACAGCACTTCAAGATACCAATAATACTTTGCAATACCAACTGTGGTTGAAAATTTTAAAAAGTGGACAAAATGCATTTAGAAAATCTGCTCCTCATATGAGTGGTCCGACCAGAAGCGTGTGGCATTTGGCGCTTTTGATTGTTGTTCGTATTTAATTGATTTTAAACATCTTGTAACTATTCCAGTACCAATCAATAACGACTTAGAACGTCGCATAGCCGATGCTTTCGAGGTATTTGATCACGCTGGCAATAAAACAGTTGATGTGAGAGAAGTGGGTACCATAGTGAGAGGTTTGGGTTGTTGTCCCACCGAGGCAGAAGTCCAAGAAATCATAGTAGCCGTGGAAGATCCAGAAACGGCCGGCAGCATCCACTTATCCAGATTCCTGCCGTATATCTCACAAATTATCACTGAACACAAGTATGTTTCTTTTTTAAATTTACTACATAAAATTATTTACTGCCTAACATTCATTATAATAAAGTAGTACATTATGACATGGCGGATCGGCTACGGAACTAATATAACTGTTCGAAATATTCGATTATATTGATTAATACAATTTGTATTAGTTCTGCATTCTTTGCCACCTTTTGTATTTAAAAAATCGGGACAGCACTAGTGCAACCTTTTTTCTTAAGTGTAAAATTTAATATTCCCATCGGATTTTGAAACAATATTTTATGCCTTTTTACGTTAACTTAAAAAACTATTCGAAATTTATAAATAATTATGTAAAAATAAAAAATGAAAAGTTGAAAACAAAATTAGTAAACAATCAATTAAATCTAAAACAACTAAAACAAAACCTAAACAAAATCAAAAGTTCCATATGTATAATTTGTATAATTGGCTTTATTAATTTATTATCTTTTTTTTATTAGTTTATCTAATTATTTTTAAATGAACATTTTTTTGCAAAATAAAACACTAATTCACCACAATACATCAAAATACTTTAAAATATAACATATTTAGAATACACAAGCGGGCTTTAATCCCTACAAGTGCGCTATAATTTCCATTAAACACTTTACTTTTAACACTGGACGCGCGTTTCGTTAACCAGCTTAGCATCATCAGCAGATGATGAAAACTGATGGTTAGCTTCAAATTTGTGGTTAGCGAAACGAGCGTCTAGTGTTAAAATATGCGATAATTAAAATTAAATAAGATTTGTAGTTCTGTTCTAATCAGCTTAACATCTATTTCTAGCGTCTGTCTACTTCTACTTCAACATCATACGTGAAAATATAATATAAATATCAAACCCTACACAATGAAGGCATATAATTTACTCTAGTTTTAAAAATACTTTATTTTTTTATCTATAATTTTTATATCATTTTTTGGCAAATTTCATTTACGCAAGTCTTTATTATCGAAAATATTCATTAAACAGAGTATCAATCTGTTAATAAAAACGTGGCTATTAAACAAATAAAAATCGGGACATTAGGGCTTTGCGTGGGGACGCGGGACTTTTGGGTCAAAATCGGGACTGTCTCGACAATATCGGGACGGGTGGCAACCCTGGCATTCGCCGTACCATTAGATTACCAATGATTCATTCCATTTTCCTGATTCGTTTACTATCCTTAATCGAATTTTACATTTTAATCCTAAATTTAACAACAATTAACATCATAATTACTAATTTAAAATGATACAGATATGAGCCGGCCAGTCCTGAGGAACTACTAAAAGCATTCCATACAGTAGATGTCGAACAAAGGGGTTTCTTAACAAAAGAATGCGTTTCTACCCTTATGACACAGGGCGGAGAACCATTTAATCAGGATGAATTGGACGAAATGCTCGAAATCGCTATTGATCCTCATACTCAAACAGTACCATACGAGTATTACATCAATCAATTGATGGTAAGATTTTATGTCTCATATAATAGCTAGGCAGTCAATAATACAGTCACTATTCTGAAAAACCTCAGGGTTCGGCAATAGTGCGTCGGGCATCTGTAGCTCCTAGAATAAAAAACTATTAATTTTGTTTAAGTGTAAACCCAAAGTATGTACGAGGATGTATTTCTAGTGGAGTGGTTTAAGCCTTTATGGGATACAAACCTCGGAATTCATTTACTGTGAACGAATTTTTATGAATATAAAACTTTTTGCATTGTATTGTTAATAATATATATTACAAAGTTTACCCATTTAAATTCGTTGCTTTCACTTTAGTATTTAAATAAACACACATATACAAATGCATACATACAATATGGCTCCGTTTTCCGGAAAAGCTCTGTATCAGGATGTCTATTTGAGATTTTCACTCCAAACCTTTTACAAAATATGTGTTTAATGGTAGCTCACATTTCAAAAATCTTTTTATAGCTATACAGGGTGAGTCAAATATATTTTTTTTCTCAACTCTCAAGTTTTAGTTTTTCAAATGAAATGTTTTATATTTGTTTAGTTTAGTGAATATGCTATAAAATTCCGGTTCCAAAAATACCTTAATACCATAGAGTATACTGAGTGACTTTTTAATTATAACCACGTCCATGGGGACGTCAATCTAGACGTCCAGGAACTTTCGTATAAGAACTTCTAATCGAGACGATTGACTTATTGTAAGTTTATCGCTAAGAAACCGCCGGCGCCGCGCCGTTTGCGAGCTTTTTAAATTTATAATGAATTACTAAGGAACGTAAATATTAACTCACGGACTATAAGAAGAAGACTATATAATATAAGAATCGCTTTTAAAACGTCCTTCGACGTTGTGCGATACCTAGTAGCCATTGGTTTCGTTCATCCCAGTCTCCGTCACGCAGATCCCTTGAGCTCATCGCCTTGTTGACACCCTCCATCCAGTTTTCCCTTGGTCTTCCCTGTTTCCTTCTCTTTTGTGGAAGCCAGTTTAGTGCCGTTTGCGTGTTGTCTATCCTTCTCACAACTTTTGTTCATACCACTTCAGTTGGACAATCTCTATTTCCTCTACTATAGTTTTCTGTCTATCCATTTTGTCCCTAATTGTCTCGTTTCTGTCTATCCATTTTGTCCCTAATTGTCTCGTTTCGTACTCTATCCATCCTTGATGTTCGTGCTGATCTCCTTATCGAGTCCATTTATACCGCCAGTAATTATTGTCTTTTCGTATTCTCCATTAATCTCTGACAATTTATTGCATTTCTGGCCTTAATTATTCAAGAAGAAGACTAAATGAAGCAAGAAGCATGATGTCAAGAAGGCCTGCTTCGGGACCAGAACTTACTAGATTTCGTGATTAGGAACAAAAGCAAAGGCATAGTCTTAATGTCAAAATTACGAAAAAATGTTAGTGTCTTCTTCAAAAGCGAATATCTCCAATAAAACTAAAGCTAATGAGATGAACCAAAAAACAAACTATCGAGAAAGGATGTATCTAAATGACAAAATGATTTAAAAAAAAATTTCTTGCTGTTTTAACATATTCCACAGGGTGTTTCAAACTTTCACAGAAATATCAACATTTTGTTTTCCCTCGTATAATTAACAGATGGGGAGTTTCATGTTTAATTTAGAAAGAGAATAAAATAATTTGGCTACACAATGCTTAAAAAATCATCAAAATCAGCCCACTAGAAAAATTTTGTGTCCATTTTTCCTACCGGTGAATATATTTCAAAAACTATACATTTTAATCCTATACTTTTCTAATGAAACTCGCCTTTATTTTTTTACCAGAATCCGAAAATCAATTAATATACAGGGTGTTCCATAACAAAAATCACAACTTTCATGTGTAACTTTTTTTGAGGCACCCTGTAGAACTCGATATAATTTTAGAAAATGCTTTAAATTGACTTACATAAGCTCACAAAATTTAACTTCAATACAAACTTTTGTTCTCCTTGCAAAAACCGCGTCGTGTATGCCGCGCCACCGTGTATAATTCGATTTCAATCAAAATTTCAATGATTAGAATATAAGCAGAATAGGTATAGCTTATGCATTAGATTCATTTATTTCAATAAATTTACTTAAAAAACAAATTAAAAAAATTCAAAAATTAAGAAGGAAATAAATAAGAATTTACTAAAATAAAAAATTAAAGGCAACTGAAAAAAATGGGTAAATATTTTAGTATTTTATCTAGAAAACACAATACAGACGGTTTCACGTTAATGCATTCACAGTAATTGAATTCCGAGGTAAAAGTCTCTGGGCACTCCACTATTCAGGAAAATATTTTAACTTCTATAGGATCGCTCAAGAAAGTGTGAGTGAATTGGGATGATTGGAATGCTTTTTTTTTAAATGAAACACCCTGTATATTATTGCATTTTTGGCTTCGTTTCAGATCACTTTTCATAATCCTAAGATATAAGTAAATATATTTCGGTAATTTCAGAGATAATTCGGAAATCTGGAAACATCAGATGCTGCGCTGCTTAGTATCTTCCCGTCTCAGCATATTTTATGAGAAGTGTACATTTGCACATCGTTTAGGGTAGTTAGTATTTTGTTATACTCATATGCGGAGTGCCAGTCCGCGCGCGGCCGTTTGTGATACTATTTTTACATCAATAATTTTATACTGTCGAATAAGGTAAGTTATTTCACTGATTTGTTTTAATCGAAAACGAGCAAATTGTGGTAAAAAAAAGTGAATAATCGACTTTTTTATTAAATAAGTATTATTTTTTAGATGTACTCTGCAAGAAAGATTGCAACAGCTCATGTAAGACTGTTTGAACGAAGATAACGAATTAACTACTGAACATGACAATGAAAAGGAAGAACGAGAAGTGGATATTATAGAAAAGCAAGGGCCAAAATAAATTCCGATAATGAAAAATAAATTTCAGATACTGAAGCACTGAATACAGTATTAACAGAGGATCGGCACTACAGAATTGTAATAGGCGGAAAAACAGTCCAACTGTTAGTGTCACAATTTCGTATGTTTTGAGCACACACAAATATTCTGTAATCACTGTTATACGGATTGATATGCACCTTATAGGACCTTATATTATTTACAATTCTGTCGTGTTAAATCCCTAGTGGGTCCCTAGATCATAATGATCATGATGATCTAGAGTTAAATGTCTTAAACGACTTTATTATTAAATGTAAGTAATTTCAGTTATTTGTAACTTCAAATATAATAATGAAGTCCATTTTATGACGTCATTATGAGGCCATTTTTGGGGCGTCTTTAAGACGTCTTTTTTTTCACGTGATTTTGACGTCATTTCTAGACCACAGACGAGTTGCGACTACTTATGACTAAAAAATAACGTCATTATGACGACCCTCTGCTACCTGGGGATTTTTTCATTATTATAAATTATTTTTGTATTTGAATAATATTTATTAATTTGTTTTTTGCGTGTTTTATGTTATATATTTTATGTTTGTTATTTGTAATAAAGCAAGTCAATAAATAATTGTTATTTTGATTATCATATTATTTTATGTCTTTACACCACTAGCAACGCTTAAAACCTCTTGAATTCAGCATGCGGACTCAGAGTCCGCTCGCGACCTTTCATGTATCAAATAAAGCGCGACCTCCGAAAGATTTAATAAATAAATAAAAATATATACTTTCTTCTCTAAAAATGATTTTACAGATTGTTACAAACACAAGATCTGTCCTGAAATCAAAACTATATTAGGTTTAGATGGTCTATACTTACTTTGCTATAAATATCGCATTCTTAAATCAAACGCCAAACTTTCTAAAATATTTTTTTTTTCTTTTTTTTTTATTAGTGTTAAAAAATTGTTGAGTTAAAAAATGAACATTTTTGGTATTTAAAGTATTTTAAAATTTTTAATGGTTTCGCAGATACACGCAGTATTATTTCATATGGCTCTTTCAACGGTAAAATACGAGCAAAAAATCATTGGGTGGCTTTGAATTGAATTTACTGTGGAAAATACCATATTAAATATAAAACCGCGGATATCTGCAAAAATGGTAAAAATTTGGAAATAACTGTAAATACAAAAATTGTTCATTTTTTAATTGTCCATCTATTGAAAAATAATATACAGGGTGTTCCATTAAAAAAAAACGAAGAAAACTTATTTTATATTTTCGAAAGCTTCGCGTAGAATGTTTAAGATCCTGTATGATTTATGATATTTACCATATTTATAGCAAAGTAAGTACAGGCCATCTACAGTACATATCTAATATAGTCTTGATTTCAGGACAGTTCTTGTATTTTTAATATTTTTTTTTAAGACTGAATTTTTTCTTTTATTTATTAATATCTCTGAAACTATCGAAATATATTTACTTATATTTTAGAATTATGTAAAGTGATTTGAAAGGAAGCCAAAAATGCAATAATATACAGGGGGTCCATTTAAAAAAAAATCATCCCGATCCACTCACATTTTTTTGAGCCACCCTATCTATAGAAATTAAAACATTTTCCTGAGATACATCCCAGTACCGGGTGGCCAACTAAGAATGGACGCCGACTGTATCTCAGAAACTACTTATCGTATAACTTTGGGAAAAAAATTCTAATAAGTAAATCGACCAAGAGAAATCGCTGGAAATTATTTTCAAGTTCGAAAAATGCCCGCTAGGGGGCGTTTCTCTGATAGCCAATCAGAAAACAGGATTTTTCTCAAAAATATGCAGGTGAACAGGTATTTTAAATATTACTGTTGTAATCATCGAGAAATTTGTATTTATTTTTATATAGAGTATTTTGCTCTATCTCATAAAATAAAGTGGTGAGGGAAGGTTAAACTTGCTTTTATTAAAATAAGGATAACTCTGGTTTAGGTTACGCGATTTAAACAAACTAGGGCTCGTTTAAAAGAGCTTTTCTTCCTTAATGATCTTCAGTATAAATTTTGTTTTCACAATTTTTTTCGTGGTAGCTAGAGGGCGTTGTTTGACATCATAACAGATATTGCACTTTTGCGTAAAAAAATTAAATAGGAGGCTATATTTCTCTTTGCACAGTTAAATAGAGCACAACATTTCCAAAATATCAGCGCAAACCGCAACTTTCTATCTTCTCTTTAACCGGAGATATTAAGAGAATAAATCATGTTAGGCTGCCGCTTAGGACTATATGGCCTAAAAATTATCGTAGTAGGCTAGGAAACAAAAAGAGGTAAATTGGTTACGTCAAAATATCAAAACATATATTTTAATTTCATTTTAATACCATTTAATTATTATTTATCCATGTTAGCCATGGAAATATGCCTCTCCAGCATCTCTCTATCTATTAAAGTAAGTGGTATCCAAGAAGCCCCACACATTCATAGCAAAATAAGCGGCACCACTGCCTCAACTACATCAACTGCATTCATGCTGATGAATTTGCAACAAATGCGATTTCATCATGATGGATCCCCTAACAAAATTGGCAATTCATTTCTTTGAAATTATAAATAGTTCATTTCATTCAGATAATTAAAAAAGTCCAGTCGTTCGCCATCCTAGAATTCCTGCGTAAACATTTACCGACCAACGGTCTTGGTGCTAAACTACGTGCATCGAGGGAAGATTTGGACCAGTAGTACATATTGTTAAGATTCGCACCTTCGTTCGATGCTATATGAAAAGTGGCCCAAACGACATAAACTTTATAATATAATAATAAATAACAAAAAACAAGTAAAACACGAAAACAAGTGAAATCAAGGACAAACTTGGATTAATAACTAAATGACGTTACATGAAATAAACCCCTAGTTTTCGACCATATGGCGGCACAAAATTCCTAGAAATTTTAATAAAATTATTAATTATCCGACTTTCAGACATTTTAATCTGAGAACTACTTACATATAATTAACCAATAAATTCGTAAAAATTTTATGGATGGATGATAATGTTACATAAACACGTTTATGATTTTTTGACGTAACCAATTTACCTCGTACGTATTTTTTGTTTCCTAGCCTACTACTATAATTTTTAGACCATATAATCCTAAGCGGTAGCCTAACATGATTTGTTCTCTTAATATCTCCGGTTAGAGAGAAGATAGAAAGTTGCGGTTTGCGCTGATATTTTGGAAATTTTGTGCTTTATTTAACTGTTCAAAAAGAAATATAGCCTCCTATTTATTTTTTTATGCAAAAGTGCAATATAAAAATTGTGGAAATCAAAAAAAATACAAATTTCTCGATGATTACAACAGCAATATTTAAAATACCTGTTCACGTGCATATTTTTAAGAAAAATCCTGTTTTCTGATTGGCGAAACGCCCCCTAGCGGGCATTTTTCGAACTTGAAAATAATTTCCAGCGATTTCTCTTGGTCGATTTGCTTATTAGAATTTTTTTCCCAAAGTTATATGATAAGTAGTTTCTGAGATACAGCCGGCGTCCATTCTTAGTTGGCCACCTGATACATACTTTCAAGTACAAACCCAGTACAAACAAAATTCCCAAGTTTTTTATTCTAGGAGCTAGAGATGCCCGACGCACTAATGCCGGACCCTGTATATCAAATTTTGCCAGAATATATAATGGCAGTTATTCCATTTACACCCTGTACAATCCCTTTTTCACCTTTTCCTTCTCCTAGTATGAACCTGAAGGCGAACATAATGTTTATAACTTGGCTGACAGGGTAGAAGCTGAAAAACCCCCACCTGTAATCGTGACCCGTAGAATGTCCTCCTATTTAAAAAATGCTGCTAATATCTTATAACATCCAAGTATACCTATTTAGTATTTTTATTAAATGAATCAATATTTTTTTCAAATTTTATTAAAATATATGTATAGTTCTGTATAATATATTATTTATAAAATTCATTTGAGTACCTATATAACCAATAATATAAAAAAATAAAAATTAATCACATACTTATAGTTTGGAGAACTGAATATTTGAATCTTTCATTAACTGTCCAGTAGCGGCTGTTGCCAAATCTTCGCTTTGTAACATCAATTGATTCAAAAGAGCCTATAATATTTTTAAAGTTATTTTTTACCTACTTATCCAGAATATGATTAAAAAGTTTTATGATTAACTATACTTTGTTTAATGACAGTTAATCGATACTTATGGAAAATTAAATTATGAATATTTAACTTTTTTAACTATAAAACCAAAGGCAAGTTGATCATTCCACTTTTATAACATACTGTTTGTCTGTTTCAGATTGATGAAATTCAACCTCAAAATACAACTCAAAAAACATAAAAATACACTTACAATATGCTCCAAACCTTCTTCCACAGTATGATCTCTGGAAAATACTAGGCTAGCTTTTGTTGTCTGGATAGCCACAGGACTCTTTTTTGCAATATCTTCTGCTATATTGATTACAGATTCAATCATCCTGGAAAAATAAAACTAATGGATTCGGTGTTTTGCCATTTTTTTATTATTATGATGATTTTTTCTGTAATTGTATGCAAGCTTTTTTTCATTTTAAAAATAGCATATACAAGGTGGTCTGAACTGTATTCCGGAAACTTCGGCAGCATATTCTGCAGATAAAAAAATAAATGTATGTAGTAGATACGTATAAATGTATGTCCTAAAATGCTTAGATTCGGAGATACAGGGTGTAGAAGTTTCATTTTTATTTCGATTTTTTCCAAATAATTTCTGAAGTAAAGTCAATATTTGAATGAAAATTGGTGTCTGGGAGTTTTTTGACATGAGGAATTTGATTTTAATGTCAATATGACTCCTACTAGTAGAGGGCGCCACCTACATATTTTTTAACTGGTTTGAAGAGCAATAACTTTTCGTCCGTACCTGTATAAAACTACTGAGTAAAAAAATATACATTTACGACGTTTTTTACGTGAAAAAGGTCTCTTGGTAAAAATCGCTACGAGTAGTGGTTTTCGAGATGTTTGGAATAGAAATTATCAATACCTGTCATCACTGACATAAATTAAACATGTTAACTAAATAGTTATTAGACTGAAATCATAAATTTGAAATGTTTTTGTGCCAAAAGTTCAACAGAAACTGTTTTATCATCATTTTTTGCATAACAATTTATGATTAATTTAAAAAAATAAAAATTTCCCAAATTTATTATATCAGTGAAATAACTACAATATCTACTCAACGTGTTATTTTTCGTCAATAATGACATGTATTGACCATTCCATTCTAAATATCTTAAGAACGGTTGCTAGTAGCGATTTTTATGAAGAGATATTTTTTATGTAAAAAATCACGAAAATGTATATTTTTTCACTCAGTAGTTTTATACAGGTACGGACAAAAAGTTATTACGCTTCAAAACAGTTAAAACACATGTAGGTGGCGCTCTCTACTAGTAGGAGTTACAGGTAGGAGTCATATTGACATCAAAATCAAATTACTCATGTCAAAAAACTCCTAAGCAGCAATTTTCATCCACATATTTACGTTACTTCAGAAATTATTTATAAAAAATCGAAATAAAAATGAAACTTCTACACCCTGTATCTCTGAAACTAAGCATTTTAGGACATACATTTATACAAACTTTTTTACTTATTTTTATCTGTAGAATATGCTGCCGAAGTTTCCGGAATACAGTTCGGACCACCCTGTATATTGATTACTTTACTTTTAAAATTTCAGCTTAACAGGAAACTAATTATACAAGTACCGGTCTATGTACTTACGTATCTTTATCATTGTAAACTTTTGAAACCAAACCACTGGTCACTGCCTCATCGGCTGGAAACTTTCTACAAGTATAGCACAACTCTTTTGCCAAACTATCCGAACCTATGACTTTAGGAAGTCTTTGTAACGAACCTATATCAGCAGCCAGGCCCACATCTGCCTAAAAATTACTAATTATCATATATAATTTGTCTATTACCAAATTAACATTACTTCTTTGACAACAAAGTAAGCATCTTTTGTACAATGCCGTACATCAGCAGCAGTTACCAAATCTACACCACCTCCGATACAAGCTCCATGAATAGCAGCAATAACTGGTTTTTTACAGTGCTCAAGAGATGACATGCTTTTCTGATATAATGTACAGAGCTGATATAGAAGTTTAGCCTTACGTGCAGGATCCTCAATTTGAGCTACTGCTGGTAAACTGTTCTGGGCAAAGTCTTTTAAGTCAATTCCTTCAATAAACAATTTTTTTCATGCCCCTAGTATAAAATAATTATATAATTTACCTGCACAAAATATTTTGCCTGATCCACTTAAAACTACAACCCTACAGTCTTCAGAATCACTCAGTGTCTCAAAACATCTTGTTATTCAACCTCAAAATACAACTCAAAACTTGTAAAAAATACAGCACAATATGCTCCAAACCTTCTTCCACAGTATGATCTCTGGAAAATACTAGGCTAGCTTTTGTTGTCTGGATAGCCACAGGACTCTTTTTTGCGATATCTTCTGCTATATTGATTACAGATTCAAACATCCTGGAAAAATAAAACTAGTGGATTTGGTGTTTTGCCATTTCTTCATTATGATGATTTTTTTTAATTGTATGCAAGCCTTTTTTCATTTTAAAAATAACATATATATTGATTTAAAGTGAATTAAACTTTATTTTTAAGTTATTTATATGTTAAAAACAACATTTAAACTCAACAGCAAACTAATTATATAAGTACCGGTCTATGTACTTACGTATCTTTATCATTATAAACTTTTGAAACCAAACCACTGGTCAGTGCCTCATCGGCTGGGAACTTTCTACAAGTATAGCACAACTCTCTTGCCAAACTATCTGAACCAATAACTTTAGGAAGTCTTTGTAACGAACCTATATCAGCAGCCAGGCCCACATCTGCCTAAAATTACTAATTATCATATATAATTTCTCTATTACCAAATTAAGATTACTTCTTTGACAACAAAATAGGCATCTTTTGTACAATGTCGTACATCAGCAGCAGTTACCAAATCTACACCGCCTCCGATACAAGCTCCATGAATAGCAGCAATTACTGGTTTTTTACAGTGCTCAAGAGATGACATGCTTTTCTGATATAATGTACAGAGCTGATATAAAAGTTTAGCTTTACGTGCAGGATCCTCGATTAGAGCTACTGCTGGTAAACTGTTTTGGGCAAAGTCTTTTAAGTCAATTCCTTCAATAAACAATTTTTTTCATGCCCCTAGTATAAAATAATTATATAATTTACCTGCACAAAATATTTTGCCTGATCCACTTAAAACTACAACCCTACAGTCTTCAGAATCACTCAGTGTCTCAAAACATCTTGTTATTTCCCTTTAAACAAATGTAAACGATAATACAAGCATTGAAAAAGAAATAATACATACTTAAACATAGCATTGTTCATTGCATTTAATTTATCTGTCCTATTTAGCTCTACATGATAGACAAACTCCTTTGGAACAGAAACAGACAAATGTTCGAATTGTGGAATATTCGTGGACATTTTGGAAATGTTTGCTAAAAAAATTGTAAACTCATATTTTAAGATATTTGCATAAATGTTTGAAGACTTACATGAGTATAATACATTTTGTACAATCTTTAAACTAAATTTTCTATAGCCTAACCGAAAAACCATTTTGTTTAAATAATATAAACCTACCCCAATATAAATCTGGAAAGAGTTGATCAACCTTTGACCAGAGTCTTTATCATTTATAATTAATGTAAAACAAATATTTTATCAATGATTCGAAATACCTTTTTATTGGTTAATAAATTTCAAGTTAAAGGTATTTGTGAATTAATATTAATCAATATCACAGATCAATATTAAAAATTAAAGGCAAAACAAAACAAAATTGCGATGAACTTTGAACTTTGAATCTTGACCACATAATAACATATATAAAACTTACAAAAATATGCTTCTACAAAAACATATATAATATATTTCTATCAGTCAGCCGGATAGTCTTAGCAGCTGTGGCCTTAAATATCATATATTATTTGTATTTAAAGCTTCAGCCGAATAGTCTTGGCAGCTGTGGCCTTCATTATCATATACATATAATTCGTATTTAAACCTATCTTCATTGAGTAGAAATTAACCTAGAAATTTTGACAGTTCAATGTTTAATTTCTTTTGTTTTGTAATTATAATAATTTGTTTATCTGCCTATTTTTAGGCTTAATAATTAATTCGCTAAATATTGGTCGAACATAAATTACCATTGTTTTTTAAGCAAAAATGCTAGATGGGTGGTACTGTAGATCCATTGCAAATGAAGCAGCACAGGCTGAGGAAGAGGAACAAGCTCTTGAAGAATCGAAATTCAAGAAGGAATACAAATTTTTGAAGAGGAAATTTCAGAACCTCATTTATGTATGTTATAAAAGTTAATATAATACTCGTAAGTTTAGTTTTAAAATGTACTCTTATAGGAAAATGAGGCGTTTCAGCAAGCCCTTCGCACTGCCCAAAAAAAATTATTACAAGTGACAAGAGACAGATCGTTTCTACTGGATCGGTTATTGTTACATGAGAAAATTGATCATTCAACTTCCGAGTCGGATGAAACTGAGTCTTCAGAAGATGAACAGCCAGCAGTAAAAGTTGAACCGCCAAAAAGGTAATTTGATAATAAGGTTTATTTACGGAATTGTGTATTGTGATATTTCTACAGGAGAAAAGTGTCAGACGGTTCGTCCCACAATAATTCATCACAGCATGTTAGTGCTGGGAAGTCGGTATCATCAGCGAAAAGGAGGAGACCTGCCAATTCCCGCTCTTCAAATAAACAAGTTCATCAATCGATGGTAAGTAATATTTTCTTTTATTTTAAATATAATTATTATTGATAATAAATTATTTTTTTAGAAACTGCACGTCCCTACAACCAATGTTCTCTCGGATGGCCACATGACACCTGAAGAAGTAGAAAGGCACTTGCAATCTCAGAGTTTCTTGGATTTAGTACCAGAAAGGGCGCCTCCAACTGTTCCTACAGAAATGTTCAGCAACGAGCCCTCATTAGATAGGTAATAATAAAAAAAATAAAAATAAACACCACTTTTTTTTTTAATGATATTGATATGATCTATTATATTTGTAGTGAGTCAAATGACATGATAGGAGAACTGGAAACATCTCCAAGTAATATGGAGGAGGAAATCAGTATTGACATGCTACCAGAATAGTACATTTAGATAAAATATGTTGGAGTGAATGTTAGTGTGATTATGTGCTAAATAAAACTACTTGTTAAGATTTTGATAAATAATAATTTTATTATATTTGTACAGGTGTACAGTTTTAAATTTTAAAAAGACTCAAATCTTAAGTAATTTTTAAAATCAAAATGCTTTAAATCTTCAATTTCAATTAAGTCAATTTCAATATAAAGTTCAAACGATTTGTTTTAAGTCCTTGACTTAAATCATTTTATTTCAAGTTAAGTCATTTTTGTAAAGACTTTAATCAATATAACTTTATTTAAGTCGTTTTTATGACTTTGAGTCTATATTTTTGACTTAAATCACGATAATCTGCAAGTTAACTCAATAAAATGGCTTAAAAATCAATATAATTACCCTCTAGTGAAGACAACCAGAATTCAGTAAGTACCTGTTTTTTAAATGTTAATATTATTTTTCAAATTACTGATTTTCATATTATCTGTATATACAGGGTGTCCCAATATTCCGTGGACATAGAACTACTACATATTTTTGGAATCAAAATAAGTTTATTGGATACACTTTACCTCTATACAAAAGTGCTTCGTTTGTCCGCTAGAGGACATCAAACTTTAAAAAAATAAAAACACTTTTTAAGATATTTTAAAAACCGTTATTCCGATTTGAATGAGATTTTGGGTGACTATGTTTTGCTAACTGCTTTAACATTTGACTCTCACAAAAATCAAGAAAAAATACGGGAAGGGTAAAAACTACCCCCACCTCTACATAAATCTTAAAATTGTCTTTTTAGTAATTGCTACATTTTTTGTCTCTTGTAAAAATAACGTCACCACACATCCTTTTTGAGGAAAAAAATTATTTTTCCGAAGCAGATTTCCAAAAAGTGTTTTTTGTCACAAAAAGCTACGGAGGCGCATAAAATCTATTATGCTCTAATAATTTAGTTGGCGAATATTATGGAATTTTATATTATATCACAAATTATATTTGATAATAAGCTTCATAAAAAGTTTAAAAAATAACAAATTTTAAATTAATTAACATTCGGGTTTATTTCTTATTGATGCCCTCTAACGGGCAAACGAAGCACTTTCGTATAAAGGTAAATTATGTGCAGTCAACTTATTTTGATTAAAAAAATACGTCTATATCCACGGAATATTGGAACTATCTGTATATTTTGTAAGTCTACTTTCGAAAAATAAATTCTCCAAGAATTTTTTTCTCGAAAACTATATGCGATGTGACGTTTTTTTACAAGAAACAAAAAAAGTAGCCAACTCAAACCAGGCCATTTTACGAAAAGAAATTCTGTCATTGGTGGATTTGGATAATATTTATACCAAAATGTATGTAGGGGTGGGGATAGTTTTCACGCTTCCCGTCCTTTTTTTTTATTTTTGTGAAAGTCAATTATTAAAGCACTTAGCAAAACAAAGTCATCTAAAATCTCATTCAAATCGGAATAACGGTTCTTAAAATATAAAAAATGTGTTTATTTTTTTAAAGTTTGATACCTTCTATCGGTCAAACGAAGCACTTTTGTATAAAGGTAAATTGTGTTCAATGAACTTATTTTGATTCCAAAAATACGTATAGTAGTTCTATGTCCACGGAATATTCGGACACCCTGTATATTTTTCTCTAAAATAAAACACTTGCATTAATCGTAAAAATCGTATATAAATACCTATGTATCTACTATATTATAGGATCTACTATAACTCTGAAACTAAAGTTTCAAATAAAGTCATACTTAGATATAGTATGACTTTATTTGAAACTTTTCCTAACCAAATCCATTTACTCACTAGTAATTTACGTAGAGTGAAAATAAGTTTGAATCGTAAAGTTCCAAATATATATTTATTATGATTTTTTACATTTTTGTTTGTTTTAATATAATTTCGGTTTAACATTGCGACGGTCTAACGCATCTACCAGTTCTGTCTTGTCTTAAATATCCTCGTCTACAGAAACAACCCTTTTTACATACTGCTATACACGCGCCTGGATTTCTTCTGGAACATGAGGGCGGACAGCTTGATCCGCATGTTAGATATTCTTCATGAGGTCCACGACATGCTGAAAAAATAATATTGTCATAATTATTACTGAATTGAGATATACAGGATGTCCCGATATTCAGTGGACAGAACTACTACGTATTTTTGGAATCAAAATAAGTCCTTTGGACACAATTTACCTCTATACAAAAGTGCTTCGTTTGACCGCTAGAGGGCAGCAAACTTAAAAAAAATAAACAATTGTTTTAAGATATTTTAAGAACCGTTACTCGTATTTGAATGAGATTTGTGGTGCCTATGTTTTGCTAAGTGCTTACACATTTGACTTTCACAAAAACCAAAGAAAGGTACGAGAAGGGTGAAAACTACCCCCATCCCTATATCTTAGTAGAAATATTTTCCACCAACCACCGATTTTTTTTCGTAAATGGTTCTTCCAGTATTTACTACATTTTTTATCTCTTGTAAAAAAACACCAACGCTCATACTTTTTGAGAAAAAAATGTTTTTCCTCCAAAGCTGACTTAAAAAATAATTACTAGCTTTAAACGGCAATAACTTGTTTAATTTAAATGGAACACCCTATATATTTTACATGAATCACATGCACAATGTAATTGTCTATCAAATTGTATTATACCATTTTTTACCTATCTCTTCAATTTTTTGTAGAAAATGCATTTTCTTATAATTTAGACCTCATTTATCACTATACCCATGAAATATTGACATTTTAGATTATTTTTAAAGATGTAACAAATTTTCAAAGAGTACAGATACTAATATTGTCGATATAGTTCGCTTATTTCATTAAAAAATAAAAAAAAACTGTTTAAATATTTTTTGTTAACAAGGACCAATTAATATGATCCCAGCATTCAAACTACGTTAATTGACTGTTTACGTTGATTAATAATATTTGCTCCAAATACTCAAAAACTGAATTTTGTGTGTGTTTTAGACAGTGTGGTAAAAAGTAACACTTTATATATTTTATTTCATTTTTTGACGAATGCTTATTTATAAAAACAGAAACGTTCATCTTCATAACTTATTATTATATTGATTCTGAGCCAAATTCACACACACATTTATTTAGAATACTTTATTAATTTAACTAAAACTTTTGGTCGGAAATAATGGATATGTATATTTAATTGGTATACTCTTTCACAAAGATTTAAATAGTTTTTTTTGTATACCAATGGGCTTGCAATACATTTTGTACATATATGTTGCTTTAAAAAAATCTGAAATGTCAATATTCCATGGGTATAGTGATAAATGAGGTCTAAATTATAAGAAAATGCATTTTCTACGAAAACTTGAAGAGATGGGTAAAAATGGTATAATATAATTTGATAGACAATTATATTGTGCATCTGATTCACCTAAAATATATAGGGTGTTCTATTTAAATTAAACAAGTTATTGCCGTTTAAAGCTAGTAATTATTTAATATACATTTTTGGACACTCTGGTAGTCAAATTTTTATTATTGCAACACAATATCTGATCAATAAATAATCGTCAGTAAATATTTAGTATTAAAAACTTTGATACCCTTGGAGAAATGAAGCCTTAAAATTTTTTCTGCAATTTCATAAAATTAAAAGTATTTAAAAAACGGTAAGGTTTAAGTGTGATAAACCTTAATCAAATTTACCTTTATTTCAATCGTAGAATCAAAAAATAGAATAATATACAGGGTGTTCTATTTAAAAAAATACAACTATAATATTTTTTACTTATTTGGTACACTCTGTATCTTGTAAAAATATTTTTAAATTGTAGCTCTAAGAGTCCTTCAACGAACCCAAAACTTACAATTTATAAAAATCTGATCGTTTAGCTACAATATTCTGTGTCGTATGTGGTGAACAACCCTGTAGAGGTAAATTGTGTCCAATTAACATATTTTGATTCCAAAAATATGCAATAGTAGTAGTAAATATGTACTACTACATACAACTACACACTACTACAATGCAGTAGTAGTATTCCAAAAGAGGGACACCCTCTATATACCAAACATTTTTTTTATTTTAAGATCTTAATTTTTTTAATCCAGTTTCTACAGGGTGACCCATTAATGTCGAAGGTATGAGAAAGAGCTTGATATAAATGTTGCATGGCTTATAAAGATGCATATATAGTTTAGAAATATGTTGTTGTTACAGGGTGTCCAATAAGAAAGTAATGATAAAACTTTAAGTTTTTTAATATACAACCCAAAGATTCAGCATAAAATTATGCATATAGGACACTATTTTTATTTAGAAAACTATGCGGTGTTGCCATTCTATTTCTTATTTACAGAGACTTTGGTTAAATCATTAAGTACATATGTCCGAAAAGTGGTTAAAACTGGGTTTAACTTTATTAATACTTATACAGGGTGAGTCTTAAATAAGTTCAAATATTTTCACGGCTGGCAGATCTCGATAAAAGAAATATATTTTCTTTTTACCGTTTTTCAAATAAGTCCGTCAATAAAAAAAGTCAATAAATTTCGGAGAAAAGTTCCATGTGATGTGGACTTCATCTGTGACACTGTATACAGACCACCCTGTATATGAGGCTTGTTCACTGAGGATGCAAATCCTCGTTGAGTGTATCAAAAATTACCAAATTGTTACATTTGCTGAAAATGCCGTTATTTGAAACAAAGGTATTTTATTTATTTGCACTGAACTGCATAAATAATTTAAAAAAATAATTAACCTACTTAAAAATGAAACAAAAAAAATGCTAAATAAGTATTTTTTAATAATTGCGTGTAATTATACCAAAAAATTAAGTTTATTCAAATTAAACAAGAATATGAAAAATCAAAAAATTGCTTATTCTACTTTATCCAAAAGTTTAACTTACCTTGAGAATTTGCTAAACTCACAAAAACCGACAAACATAATATCGTAGCGATCACTATTGCTTTCATGATTGTATTTATGAAATTCACTCCTGATGGACAAATAACAACTATTCGCTGAAGTATACCGATCAACTGGTACGATGGTAACTAAAAAACGGTACTATATATAGCAGGTGGGCCAGGGGAATTTTGTTGTTGTGTTAATATGTATATCAATTAATGCAGAAAATCGTTTATTACCATATATATTATTTACAGCGAACTTTGTCAAGACAAAGATATTAAAATGGTCGAAGACAGTGGCGGGTTAAATAAGTAATAATTTAATTAGAATGAGTAATAATGCTATTTAAATTAGCCAAAAAAATTCTATTTGAAACTATTGTTTCTAAAATATGAATGAAATGAGTATATAGTCTTGGTCTTGGTTTTTGTCTTGGAGGGTCCAGTTTTGGTCTTGGTCTTGCTGCTAGACTCTTGCAAGTCTTGCAGTTTTGTAATATATATATAATAGAAATAAAATAGCAATAAGATGTTTTAAAAATCATGAAATTTTGATTTTCCAATTAATTATTTATTAACTACTTGGTTACTTTTGAACCGCCATAACTTTCATAAGTTTATGTTGAGTTAGCAACCCATCAGAGCAAACTCTTTGCCTTCAATTTTCTCGAAAACCATCACTCTGGGCGATGTGCAACAAGGGTACCTTTTTTGTAGGAAAAAGTATGTAGTTTTCAAAAAATGCACCCACGTTGCAAAAATAAACTCAAAAAAGTTATTCACAAAACAATCCCCTACCCTTGCAAAAACTACCCTGTCCGCTTTTCCAAATAATTTTTCAGTATCACCATTTGATTTAGGGTCAAAATTTATGGCAGAGCATTTTTTTTCGAAATTTTATCTCGTTTTTTAAGCCTACAATTTCAAAACAACCGTTTTTTAAATCCACCCTTTCAGTGCCCCTAACTCCCTTAATATGCATTTTCCGTCCTATACTTATAGGAACTTTTTTTACTATTTTTAGGAGTACTATCACCCCCCATATGGTGTTTTTTTACACCATTTCAATAACACCCTGTATATGCGTTTAAAGATTGCGATTTTAGTATTAGTGAAACGGTAAAATATAAAGAAATTTTAAATAAATTAATCTCCTCTGATTTCGCTAATGCTAAAATCGATGCATCGGAACATTTAAACGCAAATATCTTGAAAACCGTTCACTGTTTAGAACTAAATGACGAGATAGACTTTTAGATAAAAAGAAGTCCTAGCCCTTTCATTTATTGAAATTACTGTTACCACAGGATAAAGAAGTACCACCAGTAGTACTATACCATAATTGGAAGTACGTTTTCAGGGCTGTTACGGAATTTTACTCTACACAGGGTGTTCCAGAAATAAGTGCAAGTATTTTAAGGGGTTGTAGATCTTGTCAAAAGAAACATTTTTTCTCTTTACCGTTTTTCAAGTAAGCCAAAAAAAAATATTTTTTGCTAAAATTTTGAGAACCACTGGATCTTTCCTGGATTTTCTTTCATGTAAATTTAGGTAGTAACCTATGTTGTCATATTATCAAAAAATTCCAAATTTTCAAATTTTTCTTTTTCGCAAAAAATACCTCATAGGCGTGTTTCTGAGGCCGAAATATACTACCAGTTAAAATACTTACACTTATTTCTGGGACACCCTGTATTATTATTATTTACACCGATTTTTATTTAAGCTTTTCTGGGCTGTGATTTCTTCGGGAAGTATTTTAGGGCATATATTCATAGGGACTTTTTGTTTTATTTTTATCTGTAGAATCACCCACCGAAGTTAGATACACTATTTTTTTGACACCCTGTACCCATTGAGGTAGAAAAAGAAAACGTATGCTAAATTTATAAAATGTGACACAGATACACAATTTTGTATAATATTGGAACCAACTCTTTCTATAGACTATTTAATTTTAAAATTATTGCATATGAGCAGTGGCGGACTAAGGGGGGGCGGAAGGGGCGGCCCGTCCCGGGCCCCCTCTTCTAGTAATGTAGAATGTTTAGGAGGGGAGTTAATCACCGCGACCTTATAGATCTATTGTGTGTTCCCCTTTCTTGAGTTATAACGAGTTATAACTCATCATACAGTCTCAGGGCTTTAAGAAAAGCCAGTATCTGAGACGGCTCCACAGAGACCAGCTCTCCATCCTCGACATCAGACGTACCAAGGTTCATAGCACGAATGGTCGTCGTCTCGGCATACTCAGTGATAAGGTGTTCTGGTGTTTCCCCATTTTCCCCACAAAATCTGCATTCGCCGTTGTTTCTCAGTTTCAGCGTACTGAGGTGTTCGTTGAGGAGACAGTGTCCTGTTAGAAACCCCGTGACAATCCGAAGATTGTTTTTACTTAAATCAAGGAAAACCTTTGATTTTTCTCGGTCATAAGTTCTAAGGAACTTTTTCGAGTGTCTTAGACCGTTGGAGGACACCCATTCCAAGTTACGGATGGAGTCTTCCAGATTCTTCAGTTCCGCTTTCACTTGGTTCCCGTTTGGAAAACAGAACGGTTCTGGTCCAGTTAGTGGAGTATTCGCTCCTTTTCTAGCTAGATCATTTGCTTTTTCATTGCCTTCTATCCCTTGGTGAGCAGGCACCCAGAGTAGGCGGACTTTATTTTCGTTGCCTAGTTTGTTGAGCTTGACTAATCTGCTTGACTATCGGATAGGATGGCAATTTCCTGTTTTCGATAGTTCCTATCTAAGGGGGCCTCCAAATCTTAATAAGTAATTTTTTATTCAAGTTATTTTTCAATGGTTTCATTACTTATTTTTACTAAATAAACATTTTAAACTACAACCAATGCCCAGCATAACTTGTATTCTCCCCTTCTTTGCCGATGATGAGCAGTGAAGTCTTTAGTATACGGGGGCCACGGGCCTGAGACAGCAAAGAGGCCCCTCGGATCTTGGAGAACTTACAAAATCGCGATATTTTGTCGCGGTATTTCCCTGGAAGCAATTTTAAGAAAAAAATATTTAAAATTTTTGGACGAAAAAAACTACCTGTCAAAAAAATTTGTACAGCCTAAAAGTCAAATTTAGTGATTATCACAGCCCCTATGACATAAAGAAAAGACATGTGGCTATCTATTTCTAAAATTAAATTGTTCAAATGTCATATAATAATGGCGGTAGCTGTCATGGAATTGAGCGATTAAAAATTATCATAACTTTTTTTCAAATGGAAACCCACTTTTTTATTTCACTAGTGAAAAGGTTTTACAATTCGTTACGTTTTAACTAGACATATTCCTATATTCCTATATTTAAAATAAATCGTTTTTAAGTTATTTAAGATATAGTTTCAAAACGTATATTTTTCTTGATTTTATCTAGCTTCCTTTGGCATATTAAGTGTCAAACAGTCAGACAATTTATTTCCATCTGTCACAAAATGAATTATTTGAATTTCCTATATTATAAATACTGCTGCTTAAAAGTTTAAACAGGGTATTTATATAAATATATCTCCGTATTTTCGTTCTTTAGTGATATCTAATAGTTGATCTTTTAATAATATACCGTACGATCAAAAAAAAACAGCGCAAAGTTAGCTTGGAAATGATGATCGATAATATACTGTCATAGGCTACTGGTTAAAATCTAGAAAAATACACGCTTTAAAGCTAAATCTTAAATAACTTAAAAACGATTTATTTTAGGTACAGGAACATGTATAGTCAAAAAGTAACAGTCGAGTGAGTGTCTGAGTGAAATAAAAAAAGTGGATTTCCATTTGAGAAAAATGATTAATCATAATATTTTAATCACTCAATTCCATGACAGTTGCGGCCATTATTATATGACATTCGGACAATTTAATTTTTGACATAGATAGCCACATGTCTTCTCTTTATGGTACAGTAGCTGTGGCAATATGGTGGCAATCACTAAATTTGACGTTTAGGCTATATACATATTCATTAGCGTATAGTTGTAAGGCTTTTGTTTTTTAAAAAATGAAGAATAAGTTTAAAAAACACATTTTTTGAATAAAACCTTTACATGAATTACTCTATCAATAAATTTCATAGACTTGGTTATCAAAGCCGTGTTCCCGTAACACATTTTTTGAACACAACAAAATAATATTAACTAAACAAAACTAGAAAACCTCATTTTTACTACATCAAAAGCAAATAAAAATTAATCCGTAGCCAAGAGTCATAATTCAAGATTACTCTGGGGGGTGCCCAGCAGTATCTTGGGGGGCCCGGCACTCCCGGGCACCCCCCTAGTTACGCCAATGTACATATTTTTGACAGGCAGTTTTTTTCCTCCAAAAATCAGAAATATTTTTTTTTCTCAAAAACGGTTAACGTTAGATATAGAGTGTTTAATACCAAAATTCATAAAGTTTTACAGAGAATTTAAGTATGTAATAAAAAATGGGGTCACCCATTTAAAATAAGAAAGTTGCTGCCAACTTCCAGTACTTCCGAAAGTGCCGCCATATTGAAAATATTTTTAATCGATAGATATCGTTGTGAAACAATGATATGCACAAAATCTCGTATCTAGATATTGTAGTTCTCTAGAAACTTCTAATGCAGGCTCAGCCTGGGACACCCTGTATAAATACTTGAATTTTGTCAACCACTATAAACGTCATTCAATATTTATAAAATGTACATTAGAAGTATATAATTATCTGAACAGACCGGGGGCCACATTTAGCTTCGCCGCCCCGGGCCCCCGACAGACTTAGTCCGCCACTGCATATGAGCCCGTAGCCTTACAGCATCGACACACAAGGACCGTAAACAACAAACAACAATTCTATTAAATACAATATTTTTTATTATTTTACTTTTGTATTAAGTCGATACGTAACAAAATTAACATCAGAATATAAAAAATATAACATAATTTTGATATTTTAACACTCATCCGGTTTGACACATTTCCCTGTTGAGGCATGCCTCAAATAGCCCTCCTTACAAACACATTCTTGCTGGCAAGACAATATACAAAATTCCGCTTTCTTTCCACAAGTCTCCGGGCAGGCAGATGCGCATGTGGAAAACACTTCATTGGTTCCACATTCTTTTTCTAAAAAAGGAAAAAAATGTTTAATTTACATAAATTACAATATCATTTCAATAAAAGTACTACATGCAAATCTGTTTAGACATAAAGAACCATCAGATTAGTAAGTGATTTTTTTACAAGAAATTGGTAACTAATTATATTTTTTAGCTTTCTGTTTCAGTTAACTATTTTCTAGTCACAAAACACTACAGGATCAGATCTAATATTTACATTTTTTGACGCGTTTTGAGAATATGGTAGAAATGTAGTACCCCCTGGGTACCGCTGCTACCACCGAATCCAGTAAAATTTTGGAAGGCCTACGAGAAAAAATATTTGGGAGCCTCTATTCTGAACCTACAGGTATAGATGGCATTTGACACCAATGAGAATATGATATTTTTTAGCAGATAGGTACGTTTATTATAAACCGTTGACGTTTTGTAAAAATTACATTACATGAAGTCAAACTTCAAATTAGCAAATACTTAATGACTACTTACATAATGACCTGACAATTACTTAATGATATAAAACCTAAAAGCTTGAACTTTGTATACGATTTTTGAAGTGAAACGTCGCCGTCGTTGGGAGTAAAAATTCAAAGCCGTGACATGACATGGCCTTGACACGACAGAAGCGTCGTAATTCGGGCACTATGTGAGCTAGGGGGCTGAAACGGGGAATGTCTTGAGAATGAGCCCATTTCTTCATGATATTTTGACAACGTTTCGTGCACTACGAAACCCCATCATCAATAAATCAAATCAAAAAATCGTCCGATTTAAATAAAATTTGGTATGTCGATACACCAAGGCCAACTTGACCGTGTCACTGTAACAAGTAGTTTTGACTTAAGAAACGTCAAAAGTTAATGTCGTTCGATCGCGATCAAATTTGGTGGGTAGGCTGTGTTAGTGACGGTGCACACGGTCCCACCCTGCAAATTTGGATAAAACGTTTCGTTTACATCTTCATCAGGGTAGGACTAAGGATTTGATATTGAAGAAAAATGTGGGTTGATTTCGACATAATTCGGGACGGGCTACGGGATGACGCCCTCAACGTTTCGAACCGATGCCTCTAAATGGACGAAATCATCAGGATTTTTCTTAGTTATGGGTCGATTGGAACCAAACTCGGCACGTGAATAGAGGTAGGTACCCAAATAGAGTCCTCAAACGAACAGACAGACAGACGGAAGTAAGAAGAAGTTTCACTTCAAATATGAGCATATAAATTTGACGGCGAGCTACGCCGCTAAAAAGCGTGTTTGTACTTACAAATCGGCATAATCTTCTTCCAAAGCTTTCCGCTCAAAAAAAAATAAACGGCACAGTATTTTCTGAAGCGGCCACTCTGTACAAAGGGATTTAGAAGCACTAAAAGCGATCAACTCAGTAACCATCAGTCAGCAGTTGGGTAAAGAATGCCTAGAGAATCTGAACAAATTAGGTAAAGAAAATAAAGTCCTCCTACTCTGGGTGCCCGCTCACCAAGGTATAGAAATGGCAATGGAAAAGCAAACGATCTAGCTAGAAACTCCATTAACTGGACCAGAACCGTTCTGCTTTCCAAGCGGAAACCATCTTAAAGCGGAAGTCCTGGAGAACTCCTTTCGTAACCTGGCAGTTAGGTAATGGGAGTCCTCCAACGGTGTAAGACACTCGAAAAATATTTTCCTTGTTTTAAACAATCTTCGGATTGTCACGGGGTTTCTAACAGGATACTATCTCCTCAGCGAACCCCTCAGTAAATTGAAGCTGAGAAACAACGGAACAACGGCGAATGCAGATTCTGTGGGGAAAAATGGGGAAACACCAGAACACCTTATCAATGAGTGCACCGAGACGACAACAATTCGTACCATAAACTGTGGTACAACCTTAGGTACGACTGATGTCGGAGATGGAGGGCTTGCTTCTCTTGTGCCGGGCCCTCGCCAGGTACTGCTGGAAGAATGACTTGAATTATGAATGAATGAAGACTCTTGGGGTTAAATATTAATTTTTATTTTCTTATGATGTAGATGACTTTTTCTAGTTTTGTTTAGTTAATATTATTATGTTTTGTTCAAAAAACGTGTGTTAATTTTTATTTTTTTATAAAATTTGTAGGTATTCTCTTTGAAAGTAATCTACAGAAACACGAGATGATTACCAGGTCTATCAAATTTGTTGGTAGAGAAATTCATGGACCCGTTTTATTCAAAAAATGTATTTATTTTTTAATATTATTATTCTTACTTTTTTACAAAAAGCCATGTCCCCCCTGGGTTCAACCTTAGCCCCCCCCTAGGATGAATTACTAGGTACACTAATGGCAGCACCGGCCGCTAAGGTACAGCCGCTCTTTAGCGGTACAGCTTTGTAGCAAACCGAGGCTTTACCTCTACAGATGCCTGAGCAATACATTTATTTATTCTATTAGATTGGATTAAAAAGCATTTTTTATTTTTCGTTTAGAAACTCTTGGCTCTTCCATTATAATTTTTGCAATGTTAAAATCTATTTTTTTGCCCTGTATCCCATGAATGCTGACAAATCTTATAGAATTGCGAAAAAAGCAAATTTTTAAAACAATTTAATCTTTATGTTCTTTAATTCAAACATTTAACACTTGAATACAATTTTTGTATAAAAATTTGTATTGTTTAATCGGGAGATCAATATTATTCCCCTGTGGTAATCGTTCACATATTCATCCCATAAAAATTTAAAAAAAACAGATATTATTTAAATTAAAGCGATAACTCACCGTCAGCGTCTGTATTGTGTAACAGAACCACAATAGTAATTGCAATAATTAGTACTACTCTCATGGTAATTTTTGTGTGGATTCGTGGAACTACCCAAACTATTTTCTTGATGAATTACTACTAAGTTACTTATTGCGGATAAATGCGGTTTTTAATCTACTTAGAATATGATCACCGAGATGGATTTTTTTATTCTTTTATATTCAATTTTTATGCGAAGCGTGTGTTTATACAGAACAGTGGTGTACCATTGAATAAACAATAATGGTAAAATTGTATTTATATTTTTATTGGGAGTTTATTTAGGTATACTCTTCCGGTTTTTTTTAAGTTTTGTTTTGTTGACACTCAAAACACTTATAAATAAAAATATCTCTTTTTTAAGTAAAAATACACACTTCATAAGGTCAAAAGTTCTCGGAGACACAATATATCAGTGCCTTAATGTGTCTTTAGACTTTATCGATTACTTGTACGGAAAAATGTCTCAATAAAATTTAGTTAAATTTTAAGGGTTTGTTTTCTAGTATTCAAAAATAACGAAATATTTAAAGAAAAAAAATCTATGTGTAAAATATAAAGTTACTAGCTTCTTCCCGGGACTTCTCGAAACGTTTTATTCATTTATTACAATTTAATATTTTATTATTACTTATGCGTCCGTGTTACACCTCGAATCTTTCCATGCATTTCCTTTGTAGTTTAATTTTTTTCACTTAAAATGTATAAAAGGAGTGTCTTCATACATTATTATGATGTGCATATTTTAAATGATCGTTTACCCCTTTAATGGATAGAGTTAGTTACAATTGCACTATTTAAACTATGTTTACTTAAAAAATGTCTATGTGTACTTACTTCAGATGAAAGTTTTCAATTATCGATACATTTGCCTTTCACATTTATAAAAATATGTAGAACTTTTACTACTAATTTCAGATGTATTTACTACTATTTCAAATTTTAACTGTGAATAGCCTTATAACAAACTAACTTTTTTTAATACACGTATACAATACTTAAATTAGAAATCCTTCAGATTAAATAACCCATTAATTTCTCATCTAGTTTTGATTAATCTCGCATGATCATGGAAAACGACTTTAAACTTTATATACAGGGTATCTCAGAAATAAGTGCAAGTATTTTAACTGGTAGTACAGTTCAACCCCAGAAACACGACTATGAGGTTCTTTTCGCGAAAAAATTTTGAAAATTCGAAATTTTTTGAAGAATTTTTTGGAATTTTTTTTTAGTTTTTAGTTAAAAAACATTATTTCTTGATAATATGGCAACATAGGTATTAGAATAAATTTACAAGAAAAAAAATCCAGAAAAGATCCAGTGGTTCTCAAAATTACAGCAAAAAATCATTTTTTTATTGGAAATAGTCAGTTCAAAAGAAGTCCAAAATAACGAAGTTATTTTGGATTTATTTGAAAAACGGTAAAGAGAAAATATGTTTTTTTTATCAAGATCTACCACCCCTTAAAATGCTTGCACTTATTTCTGGGACACCCTGTATAGTCAAAATATAAATCATACTTAATTTTTAGTTTGTTTTAACGCTAAAATAACAGCCGATTAATATTCGAACTTCTTAAATGTATTGCCAACCAAAAGAGAAAAAAATCAGAATAGCCACCTATTTCAATCATTGTTGATGGCTCCGTATGTGAAAGACCGGAACATGTTGAAGACAAAAATTTTATATTAGAATTATTTTTTTTTATTTTTTTAATTCAATTATTAGTCAATTATTAATAAATGACAAATAGGCGTTGATCCATATAAAATTATCGTCGATTGTGATTTCAAAGACACCTGCGACGCCATTATTTTTCGATAATATATAGTATTATTGGTTTATTAATAAAATTATTATTATTTTATTGTACTGATACATTTAAATAATGTAATTATATATGATCATACCCACTTCAAGAATATTATTTTATTGTAATAACTTCTAGCAGGCAGAATTAGGGGTTATCCAGAAACTGACCAAGATGATAAAATTGGCACTCCAAGGACATTAAATGAAGTCAAAGTAAACAAGAAAACAACGGAAAAATATATAATCAGGGACGGATTAAGACAGGGGGATCCACTATCTCCAGTACTGTTTAGTGTAGTATTAGAAAAAGTTATAAAAGATGCGGAAATAAACAGAGAGGGCCTTCTGTATACAAAAAGATATCAATGCCTAGTCTTTGCAGATGATTTAATTATCTTGGCAAGAGATCGGAAAGAGCTGATTTCGGTGACCAAAAAACTATAGAAGATCAAGCGCAAAAAGTAGGCTTAGTGTTTAATGAGAAGAAAACGAGGCGAAAAAGTTTATGGAGTGGGTCAGATAGGGATTTTGAGAAGGGACGATGTCTAGAAATAGATTCTGAGGGAGGGAAACGATACAAATTTGAGGAAGTAGATACATTCACATATCTAGGAACCGGTATTTATAAGGAAACCAAATGTAACTCAGGAAATTGTGGCAAGAATAATGTCAGAAAATCGATGTGTTAGCGCATTTCAGAAAATTATTAAGCGTAAGAACATCTCTAGAAGCTTAAAAATGATACGACCAATAATAGTGCTGTATGCATGTGAAACGTGGACGTTCAATGCAACGGAAAATTCGAGGCTAGAGATTTGGGAGAGAAAAATACCGAGGAAGATTTTTGCAGGAAAGAAGGTAGACCAGACAACATATGGACCAGAAGAACAAATGAAGAATTAAAGCATTAACTATATATCGGGCACCAAGTATAATAGGAGTAGTAAGAGCGCAAAGATTGAGATGGTTGGGACAAATTGAAAGAATGGCTGAATCCAGAGTTCTTAGAATGATAATGAGACGTGAAATAGGTGGAAAGAGAAGGAGGGGGTAGCCCAAGAACCAGATGGAAAAAGGATGTAGAAGAGGACTTGAGAAGGATAAGAGAATGATAATGAGACGTGAAATAGGTGGAAAGAGAAGGAGGGGGTAGACCAAGAACCAGATGAAAAAATAATGTAGAAGAGGACTTGAGAAGGATAAGAGTTGCGAAGAGTAAGGTGGAGAATATAAGCGAAAGACAGAAATAAGTGAGAGCTACTTTTAGAACTGTATATAAATAACTGCCAAGTAAGTATAACGAAAATAAAAATTCAACTTATAATTCAATAACTGGATTATAATGCTGAATTATAATGACGTATAAAATAAAATTCATGATACATAACAATAAAGAGACAAAAAACCTTGTGATACGCTACTGAATGAATAAGTATAAACAGTAGGTGTTATATTTGTCTGATAATTATTATTTGCTAAACAGGTGAGCAACCATGGGACTCTGTATTTTACATGGATTGACAAGATGGCATTGAATTAACAATAACATTAATGAACCTGTCGTCTCAATAAAGAATGTAAATATTTGTTTTGTGTTGAGGAAAATACGCTCCTTGCTTTTTTCCCAAGAATTAAAAAATAATCATGTTTATTTAGCAGGAATAATAATTCTTTAAACTCTATTGTGGAATAAAGAAAATTGACATTGTTATTGTTATTATTTTGTGAAGAGGCAATTGTGTATACTAGCGGCGCTTCAGTCTTCAGTGTACCTATATAGTTGAACAAATTGGCTGATAAATTAAAGCTGTTAATATAATTTCGATGTATGTACTGTATCTCTGGTTCTGAACATGAGACCCACACCAAATTTTAGTGAGTTAATTAACTTACGGCTTTTCAAAAAAGTCCTATGGGTATTTCGCCACTGTAAGTAAATCTACAAAATAAAATGGTTATTTTTTGTAAACTCTGCTCCGTTAATCCAACGGAGACTAACTGTCAGCAATGGCAATTACTAATAAATTTGCCTAAGGGACAAAAAAATGCTTAACGTTTCGGAAAGTATATCTCTTTCCGTCGTCGGATGCAAAAAAATACAAAGAACAAAGAAAACAACTATTTAAAATATCTATTCGAGAACACTTTAGTTTTTTTTAAACAGATACGTCTACAAAAGCCGTTGACGTTCTGTCAAAATAACATTATATCAAGTTAATCGTAAATTGTATACGTAAAAACGTATAAATTACGATTACGTAATTAAAAACAAATTAAAAATAACTATACAGAAAGTATGAAGTTTGAAGCTGGCGGAAAGAGATATACTTCCCGAAACGTCAAACATATTTTTGTCCGTTAGGCAAATTTGTTTATTAGTAAGCCACTGCTGACAAATAGTCTCCGTTGGATTAACGCAGCAGTGTTTACAAAAAATAACTATTTTATTTTGTAGATTTTCTTACAGTGGCGAAATACCCATAGTACTTTTTTAGAGAGATGAATCCGCCACAGAGGTATAGACATTTTTTAACTTAAGGCTTGTAGAACGTAGTTATGGAAGGGGGTTAATCCCTGCGACCTTAAAACCTCATACCAATGTAGTCCCGGATCTATAATAGAGAATATATCTTTCTTTCTCTATTCCCTCCTTGGATTTGAGGTCAATCCCTATTGTGAGGACCTGACCATGGCCTTCCTCCCTCGAATTGATGCCAACAAAATTACTTGCCAACTCGATGTCCTCCCACTGGAGTTCTGGCAAAGCTGGTGATACACCGCAAGGGCTAGTCTGTCCATTTCAACAGATCCCCGCATGTATAGTAAGGGAGACCAGAATACAATGGGTTGTCCCCTGGTGTCCCAAGATTGAGACCAGTAGAGGCTAGTCTTCTATCTAGCCATGCATCTCTTTGACCTAGTTACGCCATCATAGGATTTAGGTTTTTCGTGAGGTTGTCTGCTCTTAGTCTGGGCCCGGGCGGTTAAGCTAAGACCCCCACACCCTCTGCTCATGATACATGACCACAGACAGTGGAGGGTATAATGGACAGGGTAGTCCCATCCCATGATATCAAGAGTATAAATTTTCTTTTTCAATAAGTTTTCTTTGTCACATCATATGGTCCGATCCGGCATCGTATTACGTCTTGATACAATTCGCTGGCCACGACACTATAGCCAGGGACAAGACAATGAGATGCTCGTTAGGCTAAGAACATAGTGGAGCGACGAGGATAGCGGCGAGCAAGCAGCGCGACATCGCGCCCAAAACAAACCTGTGAAGATAAGTACGTGTGAACATAGGAAAACGATCTGCTCGAGCGGTTAGATCGAGCGGCGAGATCGATTCAAATAATT